TTAAGGCGAAGCACGCCGTTTTACTGTGATAAAAGGCAGTTCCACAATTCATCATAGCATCCTTTCTATCACTAGTCTTCCTTTGCCAAAGAAATAAATACTTACTGTTGCCACAGGAGGCAAAATAATACATGTTGTGAATCATGGAGGAGAGCTGCTATAGGAGGTCACAAAATAAAGCCCCAGTTCTCAGAAGTGTGCTTCACAAATACGGATCACGCTATGTGGCTTACGTGCTTACCAGGCAAAAATCTGAAGTTTCCTGTTAAGGTAGGGGAAGGTAGCAGAACAAATGTATCACTAAATAGTAAGTTTAGTTTGAAGGCATTTCAATGAGAATTTAAGTATCAGGGCATGCTGGTAGTTCTAGCATCTTTTAGGTTAATTTATTAATGTTTAGGTGTATGTATTGAAAATGAAATCTAGAGTGGCCCTAAGGATTTCCCTCTGCTTTTCAGTGGAGCTTGTGGAAGACTAAGGGCAGTGTCTTAGGAGGAATCATGATAGAAGAAACTCAATAGCTGGAGATTGTTTTTCCTCATGATGGATGGTAATTTTGACTATAAAGTGGATCTTACACTGTCGGTCTTGCAGATTCTGTACAAGGGCATGCATGTTTTAGAACTGCAAGACTATTAATCACTATTGTAACATAAAGTTACTACTTCAGGATGAAGTTAACATTATAAGTGCATAAAAGTGTATGTCTGTCTATTGGGATAGAAGGATGTATTAGTTTCCTAAGTTCCTAAATTACTTTCTTGAATTTAGCACTTGCATTTTCTAATTTTCTTTCTCTGTCACTTTTCAGTAATTAATTTCACCTGTATTTTCTCACTATGTTAATATTTCAAATGGTTTTGGAATAAATGAGCAGTAGATGACAAGATTGAACACTTCTACTCATTTCAGATTTCACTGGTTTGTTGTTACTCTGAGTGTCATCATCTTCCTAATGGGTTTCAGAAGAGATACTTGCATTTTAATAAGTAGATAAATATAAAGAAAAGATGGGAGGGAACAACTACATTTGGCTACTTTTAACAAAACACAGAAGATTTTGATTTAACAAAACACATAACATTTGAGGAATGTATGCATCTTCTTCCAGTGATTGCACTGGTAAATTTGAGTGGTAAATATGAGGGCTAATGGCATGCAATTGATGGTAATATGCTTATTTTGCTGTTTAACATATGCTTTATCTATCTTTATGGTATACAGGCAGAACTGGAGAACTCAAACTATGCTGGTGGCCAGCTTATACTGTTGCTTAATTGAAGAGATACTCTTGAATAAGGGTCTCTAATTTACGGCAGTTATTACATGTTAACCAAACATACATCTGGTTCTGTATTCATTAGAGTAATAGGTAGGTTATATTCAAGGAGTTAAACTGTTATATTCTGAAACAAGAATGAATGTTTGGTAGAAGCAAGGTCTTACCTTAGGATTTTATCTCATCCTAAGGATGGATAGCAAAATCTTTCCAGCTAAGGGCAGACAATGGTGAAGTTTGTATGTAACAACATTGTAAGGTGTCATTTGGAAACCAGATGTGAATACTTTTGTCTGTATTGACAGAAATGGAGAAAGAATCATAGAGTACCACCATAAGGCTCATCGGCATAACAGTGGAGAATATGAATTGTCCATATTCTGTCGCTTACTACCTGTCCTATCTTTCCCTTCCTTTTTTGGATGATCTCTTTTCACTTGAAGCTGAGAAATGAAATACGATGTACAGAATATGCTTTAAAATGAAAAAATAATTTTTAAGATTATTTGCTCTGCTTCCTGAATCACTGAAATGTTAAATCATGAATGCGTTTTGGTCTGCTAACCCAGAAAGGTAGGTTGTAGTGTGGCTGTTCTGTATTTAGATCTCAGCTAAGATGGAACTTCTGACTAACATTATACAGAAATAAAGAGAGACTGTTTTATGTCTTTGCCAGGACAATAACCCAAGTGTTTGGGCATTCACTACCAAAGTTGCTGCTCTGTTTTAATTAAAAAAAAAAAGACTCCACCCACTATTTCCATGTCCACTATTTAACCCAATTACAACACTGCTGGAGCAGAAGAGAGAGATTATTTTTCCATTCCCATTAAATGGAAATTAAAATAAGACAAAAAGTACTTTTATAAACCAGCCTTGATAAGAACTTGACAACTAAATTGGTATAGCTAAATGGAAAAAATTAATCAGAATAATGCATATAGACTTAGATCATTATTAAGGTCAGAGAGGAAGATGTTTGAATTTCAGTATAAAACTTGCTCAAAAGAAGGACTTATTTTCATGTAAATTTGATGAAAACAGAAAGTTGGTAAAAAGATTGATTTTTTTTCCCCTGCTTAATCTATTGCAAAGCATGAAAACACATAGTTCAGTAATAATTAAATAATGGGGAAATTACAGTAATGTTGTATGTGGAAAATACATCTGGAGAAAAGCAAATGCCATTTCATAAGCTGTCAGTAGATGGCACAAACATTTATATAAAAAATTTGGGCGTTCCTAAGTATTGTTACACAGTAGGATAGAGTTACAGGAAGTTTTCTTTTTGTCTTTTCCTGAGTACATTTTCTGCTTTTTCAGAGAGCAGGGATTTCGGGTGAGAAACTTTTCATTTTATTGATTTTATGCAGTTGCTAGTTAGCTAAAACTGTTTTATATTCTGCATCTTATTTGAAAATGAGCCATGTTTTCCATAGAGAGTTATTAGCAAGGGTATTACGTACTTTCATGTGTATGGGTAAGGAATAAGAGTAAAGTTGCTTATGTTCAGTAAATTTATCCAAAAAGCTGTCCAAATAGCAGTCTCTTTGTATTAGCACTTTGTATACGCCCATAGTTAAGGGGGGCACAGTGATTTAATGGAAATAGTTTTTCTACAGTTCAGAAATGGGTCTAACTTGGTGATATGTTTCATCCATGTGAAAGACATATTTTTGAGTTTTGTATTATGCTGATAACTTGCGAAGTGTGTGCCTTAATACTGAACCATCATAGCTCAATGCATTCTGTAAATTTCTTATATGAAAGTTTAGTCAGTTTATACCAAGTTTATATTGGAAAAACTCTTAAAACCTCAATTTTGATCTCTTCTCTTGCTCTTTAAACAACAGGACAATTTCTCGCTATGCTTTTGGTTTGCTTACCCTACTGGATTGCTTCTCTGTGTATATCTTGATAATGCTCTTTTTGTCAAGTTTGAAGACTTGGGGATACTTCTGAATTAAAAGGGGTATGACTATAAAGGATAATTTCTCCAGTGTTAGCCCCTAAAGCTCGGGTCATGTGTTATAACAGTTGTTAATTTTGTTGCATCATAGGGTGTTCTAAAGAAAGTTTGAAGGTACTCGTAAATAATTTGACTGAATGCCAGGATATAGGAATGAGAAAGAAAATTAAGCACATATGGAAGAATCATATCCTTCTTTCACCAGGTCCCTGGATATTGCTGAAATTTTGTCCTAAGAAGAAATACTGATTTGAAGGTAGATTTTTTTTTTCAGATTTCTCTTGAAGCTACATATTTTGTTTGATTATATACACATTAGTAGTGTTGCTCAAACAATCGGAAGAACAGGATAGAGGATGCTGATTATCTTTTGTTATCTGCACATGCCCAAATGCCTTTTGAGGGCTATGATGGTAAAACTGCATATAATTTTTCCAAATGAAAATCTGGAAAAAGGCTGGAAAAGTTTTGCCATGTTGCCCCACTATTTCTAGATGATTTCCAAGCCTAGTTAACTCAGTGGACTGTGTTTTCTGTTTTACTGTTGAGATTTCGTAATATAGGTTGTGTAAGATCGAGGAGAATGTACATTTTAGACCCTGTAATGTAATTCTAAGAAAGCTCGTGGAATGGTTAATGGTACAGAGGATGGAGTCCTCGAGGTTGTAGATTTAGTCCAACAAGTGACAGCTATTACTGTCTCATTGTAGAGTCACTAGAAATCATGTTTCAGTCCAGGTTTTATAGTTACAAGTCCATTTAAAAAAAAGTCTCTGAGTCTAGTTCATATCCTTCAAGAGAGAATCTGACAAGAGGATGACCATACCGACCTCAAATACCGTACTTTCTGATCAAAGTATATAATACAGTTGTGGGAAGCCTTCATAATACATTGGATCACAGCAGTAATTCTGTAGGTAAGCAGCAAATTTTAGTCACCTACGATATGAGACATGTTTTGTAAGAAACAGACTCATTATATATTAAATACAGCATATTTAGCAAATCGAAATTTCAGTGGTGTTCTCTTAATAAAGAATGCCTCTCATGAATGATAATAGGTGCCTTCATTGCTTTTTGAGTCAAAGGGAGAGATGAAAAATTGGAACTTTCAAAAAAAACAATCTCTGTGATGGCTCCTGCATAGCCACTTAATGATACAATCTGGTTTTTGTTTTTATTTGTTTGTTTTGCTACAGGATTAGAACAAAGATGGACAGATAAGAAAAATATTGAGCATCTCTCCTGGTTTCGTCAGGGATAGAGTTAATTTCCTTCCTAGTAGCTGGTACAGTGCTGTGTTTTGGATTTAGGATGAGAACAAAGTTGATAACGCACTGATGTTTTAGTCCTTGACACTAATCAAGGACTTTTTAGTTTCCCATGCTCTACCGACTGAGAAGGCTGGAGGTGCACAAGAAGC